AAAGAGAGTTGTAGATTGCCTGGCCAATGGGGGGGAGTTAAACAATATAAACGGGGGGGGAGGAGGGGGATGGGGGACTTCTGAAGAGAGAAAACCATATTATATTGGCCCAAACAGATATGTTTTACGTAAAGAAATGGCATAACCCGTGCGCAAAAAAGTATTGTTTTCAAGAGAAATAGTGCCCGCAATAGATGCAACCAGAAAGAAAATATGAAATATGTTCAACCGTATGTATAATAAAGAAAAAGATACAAAGTCAAACGGGAAAGTGAGAGGAACGACGAAGCATATCAGATAAATAGGGGGAATTCGCCCTACAAGCTGTTGGTATGGCAAAAATTTCAAATCTACTGCAAAAGACCCATAAAAATGGTAATAGAAGAAAGGATCCACACGGCGGATGGAATTGACCTTGAGAAAGCATCTCCAGTTCCAATATAGGGATTAGGAGTTGGGTTTCCTGTTGGCGAGACTGAAATCGTGGCGAAGGTTGAAGGCTGGGCGGCGGCGGGGTACGCTGATGGGGCATATGTCGGAACCTCTTCAGGAAGTGCAGTGCCTTGAACCAGCCCGACGTATCTAGCAGTGGCTGCACCAGGAATAGTTTCAGTGATGAACTGTACCTGTGGGACTGTGACTATGGTAGTACGGGTGGTAGGTTCAGCAGCGGAGTATGATATCACTTGAGAAACGGTAATTTCAGTGCGAGGGGCCTGGGGTAGAGGGGTAATGAGGGCGTTGCCGCCGGTTCGAGCTGCTGGTGGTGTTGCCGCTGGCGGTGGGGTCAGGGTAATTGTCGACGGGATTGCGGTAATTATACCAGGATTTTTCGGGACGTCTGCAGCACAGATGCCAGCGAAATAGGAGAGAGAAGATTGAATTTCATCATCAGAAGCACCCCAGGACTGGATACATGCGATTACCGCAGACGTGAATTTGGAGGAAGGGCAGAAGCAGCTAATGTCGCTGTTCGAGTTGCATTTTGGAACCAAATTGAGCCAGGTGTTCAGACATTGTGGCACTACTTTGGGGCAGGGAGCTTCTATGGGGTATAGCTGGCGGTAGGGCCGGAGTTGAAGGATCAGGTGAATTTGTAACTGGGAAAGGCTGACGACGAAGAGATGCTGCTGATACTGATGGAACTGGATATGTGTTGGGGGGCGTG